CAACAAATCATGTAAAAATATTTATTCTCGCATTTTTAGAAGCAAACTCAGTAATTAAACTTTCGTAATCAATATTTTCTAGAAAATCTTGCTCAATAGCTATCAAAGCTAATCCATTCAATTGTTTTTGTAACATGGTTGATCACAAATAAGATTTTAATAACTTCAATTTTGAAAACTTCTTTCAGCAGGTGCAACAGTAACAGGAATTGTCAATAATATTCTATAAGCAATACGTGTATTCGGAAAGTAATCCAATCTTTTCAAATAAGTTAATATATCAAAAGCCGTCTTTATTTATTTTGGTAAAATATTTCGCAAAACTTTTAACTCTTGAAATAAATCTTCGCCATCAAGATTGCGAAAATTTACATGTCGTAGAACAATATCAAGATGATCACAACACGTTTTCAAACTAGCTTAATCATCCAATGAGTTTAACTTATCAGAAGAAAATAGAAATCCAAATTTTTTTATATGAATTGAATTGATCAAACCTTCGTTCAAGTGATCTAATTGCTTTACTATATAAAGGAAATAATTGGTTCTGAAAGAATCTTCAGGTGATTGTGAATCGTTTACAGTAGCATTTTCATCAAAATGTTTCCTCCTACGAATTAGTGCAAAGTGAACTTTACTTCCCAACATTTTCATTTCAATGACAATTTCTTTAGCAATATTTATCGCATCATTGAATCCAATTTCCCTATATTTTTGAAAAAAGCAATCAGCCCTTTCACTTCCTCAATAGCAACGTCAATAAGCATATCATTAGATTGTAAGCGTTTACTAATCAAGTTAACAACATACAATATCTCATACCATATGATCATAGCTACTAAAAACTCAAAATTTCCGACATAAAGGGTTGCCAAAGCATTAGCCCGACACCTTGCATCATTGTCATTTTCATTTTCAGCGACTTCAAGTAAAGCTTTTCTTAATTCAGGAGCTTGGAATCTAATTGCTTTAATAGCTTCAATGTGACTTTTCCATCGTGTAGCTGACAATGGAACGTAGCGGAAAATTATAGAAAAGATGAATAATCTCACAAATATGAGATAAACTCACGAAAGTTTTGATTCAATTCAATAATGTCTGCCTCGAAGGGCTTACAATGGTTTAAATAGCAAAAACCTAGCAAATTTCGGAAAATAAATAATAAAAATAAAAAAAACGATA